GATCAATGACACCCCAAACTGCGAATACCATCAAGAAACAAGAAACCTTCACAAGAACTGGGCTGCCAACATCATTGCAACAGAGAACGGCAACTTGTTGAAGTGTGTCTTCAACGACGCGGATGGGACAGTGAAGCTTCTCATCCGGGAGGATCTATTCCCAATGGCCGAAGAAGGATTAGCAACTGCTTGGAAAAAAGTAACAACACGACACTCAGACGAAGACTTCACAACGCAAAAAGGAAAAGGAAAGGGAAAGGCAAAATCCTCCTCAAGCACAGCCCGAGGCGTCCAAGATTACCTCTACAAGGTGCATTTGGTAAGGGTCCGTCCGCTTGAGGACGATGAGGATCCATAGGGGCTTTGCGGCTGGCCAAGCATACCGTGGAAACACGGACTTCGAAACCAAAACGACACCAATTCTAGTTTTGCTCCAATGATACCGCAGCTCTGCGGACTTCGTCACCAAAAAGAGACTAGACAAAAAACAACCGAATCCCAATTTTTAAACGCTGGCGTCCTACCTTCCATAGGTGGGCTGGGTCAGCCGCGAATCTCCCACCGGAGTTTTCTGCGGAGACGAAATGGTCTCACAACACAGCACTCAAAACACAAACTCGAATTGCCAAGAGCGAGTCATAAAAGAGGCCTACGTTCAAGAGACGCTGTAAACAAACGAAAAACTAAACGAACAGAGAACCGCAGAGAGAACAGAATTTCATACCGCATTTATAAGAAGGCTGTGTTGCAAACCCGCTTTGGCAAGGCCAAGCCGGCGGGGTTTCACAATTTGGCTCAGGATACCCCTCAGCCATGCCTTGACGCACGGAACTTCTTCCTTACTGCTGCACATTCCAGGCTAGACGGTTTCCACAAATATCGTAATAAAGAAAAGACCTTAAGTAACCCCAAAAAACCTGATGACCCTAACTATCAGCAAGACTCTGCTGCCAGATGGACTATGAATTCTTACATTAAATTTGGTTCATTGAATTGCCGTGGTCTTGCGAGTGAACACAGCGTGACCAAAAAAGAAGTATTGGTTCACTCCATGAGGAAACTCGGCCTAGATATGCTTTTTCTTCAGGAAACTCACATAAATACAAATTCGACCGAAACGATTGAGGGTTGAGGGCTTTTGTTTCATATACTCCACAAGCATAACGGATGCTCAAAGAAAACAAGCCGATAAAACCAGAGCAGAAAATACGGCTAGAGGCCGCCAAAGAAATGGAGTCCGACATGCACCCCCAATTGACATTGAACATGGAGGCACAGGTGTTATTCTTTCCCCAAAAGCAAAAGCTACACTCTTAGACTTTAAGCAAATTGATGGTCGAATCATGACCGTAACTTTGGATATGATTGGGCCGCCTCTCCATTTCCTAAATGCGTATGCGCCACAAAGCGGTACTGAGACCAGATTAAAGAATGATTTCTATGAAACGCTGGAACGTAATTTGGTCAGTTTCCCCAATAGTCATCCAACCTTCATCGTAGGAGACTTCAATGCAAGACTGCATGCCCGTTTTGAGAATGAAGCTTGTTGTATTGGACAGCACATTTTTGGACGTGGCTTGAACTTCTTGATACACAATTCTAGCCCAGCTTCATTTGAGAACAGAAGCCTATTTGTAGAATTTTGTTTGGCACATGGCCTCCACATTGGTAACACATTATTTCAAAAACCTGTGTCAAAGCAGGTGACCTTCAGAGAAGCTGGTGTGCTAGGTGGACCTCCTTGGTCCCCGGATAGATTTGCTCAGATTGATTTTGTTTTGGTTCCTGACAGGTGGAAAAACACTTTGGTTGACGTGTCCTCATCCCCTGAAATCTTCACTGAATCAGATCACTTCATTGTTTGTGCGAAATGCCGCGTCAGAAGGAAGCAGCTTAGTTCTACCGTGGTCAAAAAGATTACATATAGTCCCCCCACTCCACTGGAAAAAGCCAGTTATAACCAGTTCATTTCGGATACAATGCGCCAGGCGAGTGATGCGGAAGCCAAAACCTTCCTTGATTCTATCCGTAAAGCAGCATATGTAAATTTGAGACCAACACCACTGGGCAGACGTCGTTCGTATATTTCTGAACATACATGGGACCTGATCTTGCAAAGGCAAAGAGAACATGACAATGGCAATCATGATATCTTATCTGAACTCACTAAGAAGATCAAAAAAGAGGCTAAGAAAGATAAAAAAAGACATATCCTCGAACAGATGAAAGATACCTTACCAATCTTACCATCTAGAGAGCAATGGGCTGGAATAAAAATCATCAAAAAGAAGCGGACACCCAATTTCACCAAAATGAAAGATAAAGATGGAAATAGGGTCGGCCCCCGCGGGCGTGCAGGAGCAGTTGCTGATTATTTACATGCTGTGCAGTGGAAAGCTGACATCCTACCGCCGTCAATTACTAAGAGATCAATCATCCAAAGTGACTTGCCCTATAATCTTGATCAAATAACTATGACAGAACTTGATGCAGCATTACGAAAAGCGAAGAACCACAAAGCTGCCGGCCCTGATGGCATTCAGGCTGAATTATTCAAATATTTGGATGTACAAAACAGAGCAGCTCTCCTTTCCGTATTGAATGGGTGGTGGTCCAAGGAAGCTATCCCATCAGATTTCTTAAATGCCCAAGTTGTTTCTATTTTTAAAAAAGGAGACACTGAAAACATTGCTAATTATAGACCCATCTCTCTGTTGAATGCTATTTATAAGATCTTTGCTGAAATCATTAGACAGAGGCTTTCTGACGTAATTGGCCCATACATTTGTAATACCCAATTCGGGTTCAGAAAAAACCGTTCCACCACGGACGCGTTATTCATAGCCAGAAGGTTGCAAGATTTGGGAGAACGATCTGGGGACAATATCGTGATATGTATGTTAGACTGGAAGCAAGCCTTCGACCGGATCTCACACCCGCGGATGATGCAGGCCTTGGAGAGGTTGAACTTACCAAGAAAATTCAGAAATCTTATTGCAAGTTTTTACACGGACCTTTCCTTCCAAGTGAAACATGAAAATTTTCTATCGCATGCTAAATCTCAAGATGCCGGCATACGTCAGGGATGCCCACTCTCCCCATTTCTGTTTATACTCGTCATGACTGTTCTGTTTCACGACATTGGCGTAGAACACTACAGGGACCTTTCAGAATGTAGGCTTGACCAAATCAGTTTTAATGAAGTCCTGTACGCAGATGACACGCTCCTGATTTCCCGAAACACATTTGGCATGAACTTGTTGCTTCATGCCATAGAAGACGAATCAGCTTACTACGGACTAAAACTCAACCACGACAAATGTCACGTTTTGGCAATGAACGGTCACAACTGTATTCGTTTTAAAGATGGATCTCGCATGAAGCACGTGGAAGAAGCCGTTTACTTGGGCGGAATTTTGACCAAACATGTTAACATTGCGTCAGAAGTGTCCAACAGAATTGCATCAGCTATGGCGACTTGGAAGAGTTTGGATATTTTTTGGAAAGAAGCACAATGCAGTACCAGAAACAAAATTCTAATTTATAATGCAGTCATTCAATCAAAACTTCTCTATGCCTTGGAAACAATTGAGATTCCAGTAGCTCTCCTTTCACGATTAGAATCTTTTCAGTTGAAAGGTTTGCGAAAGATTCTAGGCATGACTACGACCTACATCAATCGTGCAAACACAAATGAGGAGGTTTTCAGAAGAGCAAACTTGCACATTGCAGCGAACCATCATGGAACCAAAATTGAACCAATTCAGGACATTTTGGCCCATCGTCGCATCGCACTTGCAGCGAAAGTTTTGAGACAAGACAATGACAGCCCTATGAGAATGGTCAGTTTCAAAAAAGATACCGCTGCACCTGTTGAGGTATTGTTTCGACGGGTCGGCAGACCCAGGAAACAATGGACGCAAAACACCTTGACTATGATATGGCGTAAAATTCGTAATGACCAAAGTGATTTCAACAATTCCAACGCACAACTTGCTCAAATACTGCAAGCAGCTATCAGCAAAGAAATCTAGTAACATTTTCCTACCAGGCTGTATCCTGGACATCGTAACTAAGTCGAACTAATCTATAGTTCTACTTCAAGGAGTTCCTGTACTGAGGGGCAACGATGCTGCGGGGAGCCTACGGGTATGGCACCTGCCTTTCTAAGTTAGTTTCACATCCGTTTTTTCACAAACCATACCTATGGCACGCAAGAAGAAGAAGAAGATTATAGTTATATATACGTATATATATATATATTATACACATATTATATCAATCACTCTTACAATAGATACTATAGGTTTTTTTCTTCCTCAATTTGCATCAACCCATTCCCGTAGAAATCGTGGTGAACACACCTTAAAATTGTGCTGATTCTGAGGTCAGGATACGGATGTTGCTTCTTATCATATCCCATGATTTTTTGGGGACTGCCAAAAATATGTGAATTATTGTGAATTGATGATCACGCTATATATATATATATATATATATACATTGTACATTGGCTATTGATCCAACAGCGTATGGATTGCGAGCATGTCTTGTATCACCCACATGTAGAGATGGGATAGCGGGGGACTTAGTGGTGACTGCAACAGTGGCATCTTTTGCGAAGGACTTGAATGCTGCACAGCACGTCGATTCTTCAGGCATCGCGGGAAGATCAAAGCTTCCCCAAGAGACCATGCTTGGAATTCAGAGCCTAGCATGTTGAACACTGGCCAGTTATGGCCAGTTGCGTGGGGGGTCTTGTCGTCTTGTCATCTCAAATGACAGGCGGCTGCTCTTTCGGGAGAGCAAGCGGTGGTATATTGCCTTTGTCGCTGCCTCAGTGGAACATTGCCTCACCATGGAAGACTGTCTTGATTCGAGGGAAACTCTACAGGGCCTCTGATTATGTGATCCATGGTCTTCTGTTTCCGTAGATTAATTACAACAACTATAATATACTATAATAATCTATAATATAGCGTCTATACATCAACCCAGCGATGGCAAGAAACTATCCTGTCACACACCTGAGGCCACCTCTGGCTGACTCGCAGGCCGAAGAATTGAACGTCTGCACGATGCTAGAGGAAGGAAACGATGGAGACCGCATTGACACCACTGTTTCCTGTTGTTGTCTTGTTGTGCCGACATGTGAAATATATCTAGTTGTTATATGTTGATATATGTATGTTGGTATTAGTTGCTTATTCGATAGTGCGGTGTGTTTTGTATTCCCATCCCAGCAAATTGGATGATCCCATCCTGTTTCCTTCTGCAAGGCCTCGAAACAGGCGACAGAAGCAGCAGAAGCAGCAGCAGCAGCAGCCACCTGGTGCAGTTTCAGCTGGCAGTACACCCCAAAATCCCATGGTGAATCCATCGGAATTCCGTGGCATGTCATGAGTTTACCCATTGAAATGGCAATTTTGGGGTCTCGGTCTCCCCGAAACTACTTGACCAAAAGAGACACAGTTTTTGTCAGTTTTGGTACTGAACTGTCCATTGTTGCGGGGCAGTTGAACCTCAATTCACCAGTTCTTGTGATGGCTGGCGACCCATCACCAGCCAAGCCCCACCTCCATGGCAAGCAAGGAGCCATGCGTTCAACACGACCGGTTTGGTTTGATTTGTTTTGATGAATCCACTTCAAGCGTAACATAGAAGGGATTGGACATGATTGGACAGGATTTATTTCATATTATTCATATTATTTCCTCTGATCATTTCCCACCTTGGAAGATGTTCTCCCCGGCACCACGCGGCCGCAGAGGCTGCAGAGGCCAAAGCAGAGGTGCCAAACCGGGGCGATGACTCCGGCCATGGGTGACTGGCTCAACCACCAGCCAGCTACTAGTAGTCATGTTGAGCCACCAGTTTTGCTGGTGCCTTCATATCATGATACAACTGGTCAAATCTCAGTTTCGTTGGTATATCCTTCTTGCTTTGGGTTGAATCTCGCTTTTTGTTGGTAAAACTCATGATTTGGTGATTGTATCATAATCCCCATGTTTGTTGGCCAAATCACCATTTTCTGTTGCTCAATCCTGTTAGTTTTTATCATAAGTTGTTTTCCTTCATGATTTTGTTGGTACTATATATACAGGTATATATATATATACACACCAATCTCTATTAAATTATGTATATATATATATATATTCACGTATATATGTATATACAACTAGACAGTTCACATAAACTGTTAGCTCCACATCCCCCAACCTTTGTCCCTTTGTTAAACCCATCTCCTAAACCGCGGCCGAAAGGTGCAGCGCCTGCGCCAAGCCTTGACCTCGGAAGAAGAAGCGTGTGCCCGGAGACCTGGTGACGACCTGGGAGGATCTGGGGTGATGCCTTGATGTGGGCCCAATAAAAAAGGGATTAGATATATAATATATATATATAGATAATATATATAGATAATATATATATATATATATACATACATAACTATATATTATACAGATAATGGGAGTATATGATCGGATAATATTGGGATAATATTGATAATATTGGACCATGGGCCCAAAATGGAAGAGTATATTTGGGAATATATTTATTTGGGATGCGATTGGGATCCTGATTCTCATAGAATGTTGATGTTATTTGGGATATATATATAGATACATATATATATATATATTGAGAGAATATGAGATACCAATTAACCACCAACATGTTTGTTTCATGGTGATCGAACCGGGGGATGATATGGGGATATCACCAGCAACTTCAAGGTGTGACTTTCGATCATGCCGCATGTTTGATTACTGGAGGGTAGCTGGAGGGTAGCTGGAGGGTATAGCATTTTTATGGCTGGTCAATTGTTGGACAACACCGCTGAGATCATCAGGATCATCGAACATTTCCTTCATGCACTGGTAGCGGGGAGACAAGCCAAGGCATAACTTCCAAAGTATGGGTACTTGGATGTGCATCCCCAGAATCATCAGGGGGAGTTCATGCTGTAAACAAATTCATACAAATTCACTATGGAACATGCCCAGCAATATATAGGGGTTGTCCAAGTCTTACTAACTGGGACCCATAGATTTGAGATCCACAGACACCATGGCGGTCACTTTTTTCCCTCAGTTGTGGGATTGGGCGCTTGGAAGTTTGTTCCACCCTCAGGTAACTGAAATCAAGATGATAGGACTTCAAGCAGGGGTTGGTAACTGTCCCATTTTGGATATATTGGACATCACCTTATAGTAGCCATTATAGACCATATACCTAATGGTTGGGTGATGTTCAATGGGGACATTTAATGACCCATGTCAAGTTCCCAAACATGTGATTTTCTAACGTAACTTGGACTGCTTGGACTTTGTGTTTTCGGGAGCCCCCTTTGAGAGACTTTGTTTCGCTGCCACCTTACAAGGCAGAGGCCAGAGCCGAACTGGAGGCCGTCAAGCCATGTAGCAATGGACACAGAGATTTGGACCATTTGGTCATTTTTAGTATGATAGCAACCTTAGCAACCACCAAAAAAGATGGACAAGTACAAACCTGCAAAAATAGCGCGATAAATCATGGTTCTATCTTTTGGGGAGTTGCTATAAACCATCCATTTTGGGGGGTCCAATAAGCAACCCCATTTATCAACGTTGGGATTCGTCGGGGTACGAACTCCCACTGACCTGCCCTGGATTTAGGTCAGTTTTGTCAACTGTCATCCTTTCTACAGTACTGGATGCTTGACCACCAGATTTATGAAACCGAGGGCTTTTCAAGTGGTTTCGCATGCCTTTCCCGAATTCAAATACCTGATAAACGTATGAAATAACATTCAAATAGCATCAAGTAAAATCAAATCACCATGAAGAGTTAAATTGGGATACAGTAAATCCACCATTTTTTTAAAAACCATGGATGGATGCTCCCATTTGTTTGGCCGTGAGCCCCAGGTGGCAGGCTCTGGCAGCGAAGCTTCTGAAGCTGACAGGTGCATCTACGTCCAAACCAACGACGTAAGAAGGATGTGACATTACTATACATTACTGTAATATTTAATAATATTTAGATGATTTTGATGATTTAGGAATTTTATAGCAATATATATTATATATATTATATATTATATATAATATAATATATATATATATTATATTATATTATATTATATTATATTATTTTATATTATATTATATTATATTATATATATAATATTATATATATTATATATATATATATATATTTGGATGATTTCAGAGGATTTTAAATGAGTTTCGCAGTTTTTGGATGGATTATGACCACCAAATCAGTCTGTTTCAGGCTGGCAAATGTCAGTGATTCGACCAGATACCATGCTGGTTGGTGATTTTTTCAAGCTCATAGCATGTCACAAATTACAGGAACACCCACTATGCCACGATGCGCATGCAGAGTACTCGACTATTCCCCAGCCAGGTTGCGGCTCCTTCTGTCGCAAGAAAAAACCAAGAGTCGAGCATTAGGTTGGGAAGCCGAAACCATCCGAAACCGAAGGGCGATAGGATGTCTGGGTACATCTGGGTACTGTCAAAAGCCTCAGCCATTGTTTGAGTCACCAGAAAACAGCTGGATGCATATCCCATGTATTGAGCCTGGCACAAAGCTTTTGCTCCTGAGACGTTTTTTGGATATAAGTTGTGTTTTTTCCAGCCTGACGTGCAATGAAAAGCCAAGATTTACATAAGGGAGACTGGAGACTCTACAATTTGTCCCAGTCTACTTTCCTGCGTGTCTTTCCTTCAAGCAAGCGGTTAGGCGGTTAGGAAAAGGTGCAATTTCCTCAATCCCTACGTGGAGTTGCATCCCAGTAGTGTGGTAAGTGGTTAATCGACAAACCACATTCAATATTCATATATAGAATATATATATATATATAGAATATAGTATAATATAGATTACACTTAAATATAAATTATAATATTCACATATAATATTATATAGAATATAGTATAATATAATATTCACCTAATTTATAACTTGGTGAATTGGTAGCAATGGTCAACAGCCGACTTTCCTGGCTCCAGGCGAACGCGCTCTGCGCTCAGAGAGGCATCGGCAGAAGCTGTTGGAGGAGATGGTCCAGGCGATCATCCGGAGATTTCAGGGGAATTCATGGTTTATATGATGATAATATGATATATATATATATGTATATATGTATATATATATATAAATAAATATATTATGACATCATAGGGATATTATATATATTTATATATGATATATATGCGGCAATGGAGATTTTGGCTATTTGAAGAACACATATTGAACACATGGGTAAGAACGGTGTCTACCAGGCATTATGGACCGTAAAAGAACGTGGGATTTCACCAGATGAAACCAACCATGCGGATTTCAAAGGAAGTAGTGAGATATTTCATTCGGATGTCATCAATACGGGGATATTTGGGTTCAAAATGGGATAGTCCCAATCTTGCGGCCATTCAATGGGGAACATTGCTTTGAAACCGTGAGGATTTTTGAAATGATCAACCATGAGATTGACCAACGATGAGTTTTTAGGTCTTTTTCACCCAAAACCCTGGTTGTTGCGGTGAAAACTGTGGATATGACGTGGACTGAAGCCTGGAAGCCTGGGAAGCTCCAAAAGGGGATTCTGGGGAAGGGGATGGTGACTGTTGCCTTTACCATGGTTTACCACATTTTACCACATAAACATCCCCAAACCGATCATCATTGATGATATTCCCGTGATATCCATCTATGTCAATCTATGTTGGAGGGTCGGAAAACAACATTTCCAGGACGGCCAGGCGGACGTGGAGCTCGTGTCCTTGGCCAAGGCGATCCCGGGTCTTCTGAGGATACCAAGTGGTGATGACAAACACTTTGCTATTGAAAATGGCCATAGAAATTGTTGATTTACCCATTAACACTGGTGATTTACCATAGTTATGTACACGTTTACCAGAGGGTAATGGACATTTCAAGATGGTGATTTACCAACTTGTGTTACTGCCATGTAAATAGCTAGTAGGACATCAAGTGGTGTGTGTTTTTGTTTTAACCTTCCAAGTGTTCCGAGTGCCTGGAAATTTCAAGATCTTTGAAAAGACTAATGTGGTAAAGCGACATCGCTACCATCCTAGAGGTTTACGGCATTGGCTATACCGGTACCATGACCATCCGGAAGGGGTACTGCTACACCGTCATCATTAGCGTCACAACTACGTTTTTTTTTTTTAAAGTAAAACCAAGAACTTTTAGTATTGTACATTCTTATATCCCCATTCAACCACCATGTTTATTAGTTGAGTAACCATAAAATCACCATTTTTCTCGGCCACCCCAGCAGCTGAGGCCGTAGGGCGAACCGTAAAGGCCATCGCAAGTATCTCCAAGGAGGCGTTGATGTTCGATGGCAGAAGTGGTGGGGAAGATTTCAGGAGAAGAACTGGGAATAGTTAAGGAATACTAAGGTATCTTAAGGTATGGTTATAGTTAATAGATATAGACGACTAGATTCTGTAGAGTTTTTTTTAGCCATGTGAAATACAAATTAAATGGGGATACATGGGGTAGGTTTAAGGGTTAAATCACAAGTTTGGGTAACATTTGGTAATATATCTATATCTATATCTATCTATATATATTTATATACACACATCTATATGTATATACCACACTTTAATGCCATGTGAATAAAGGACATCCATGAAGCAAAGGAGAAAATGCTACGATCATTTTTTGATCCATGGGATTCCAATGGGATAACAAAAATCAGGCGCCGCACCTCTCGAAGCTGGCGAAGACGCCGCTTTCAGCTTTGCCGGTTGGGACACCCATTGGGACACCCAGTTGACTCAGAAATGGCTGGTGATTTATGGAGTATTCAGCATGATTCAACTATCACTAGCCAGAAATCTATCAAAATAGCTGAACAAAATAGAGGATAATTGATTCAGACATTAACCAGTGGCATGGTGATTTTCTTCGGTTTGGTGTGAAAAATAAGATACCCCATTGTTAATCATCATTGGCCCAATTTGATGGCCATTTGTGGATCGGGAAAATCACATTTGAAACCATGAGTTTGTGAAATTACCGTACTTCGAGTGATCCCCACCCTGACACATTATTCTGACATAGTTTCTGACATATTATTATCTGGAAATATAATTATGTGGCATAATATATAATAATATATAATAATAATAATAATAATAATAATAAATAATAATAATAATAAATATATATATATACACATACATATACATACATGCTATCATTCTATCTGACATCCTTTCTGACATATACTCTGACATTCTATCTGACATTTTCTCTGGCATTCTACCTGGCATCAATTCTGACATACTTTCTAGTATATATTCTGACGTTCTATCTGGCATTCTATCTGACATATATTCTGACATTCTGTCTGGCATTCTATCTGGCATCCTTGTGAAAAAAAGTCTAATGCTATCAAAGTCGATTTTGAACAACCACTGAAAGGCCATAAAATGGGGCAAGACCGGTGTTATACCTATGGTCTCCCCTATGATTTCTGGACTTTGCGATGGCTCATGACGTCCCCGGTTGGTTCGGGAATCCACTGTGATAAGTCCAACATGAAACAATATGGGTCTGAGTACGGTGTATCGAGCGGCAACTAAAGTGGGCGCCCACGTTCTTGACCAACTTGTTGGGTGCCCACTAAAAGATCTGATGTGGAAACTTTGTTAGCCAGCTTGGATGATCAGTGGTATTTGGACATGTTAAAAAATATAATATATAATATTATATATATATATATTTATTTATTTATTTATTTATAGATGGATGGATTATGGAACCCCAACATAACTGGCACAACTGGGATACTTTATAGGCTTTGAACCAATCACACGCCATCATGGCATAGCTATCAAAGACTTTTTAAGGATGTTGTAGATGATTTATTTGCTGCATACCCTCTGGTAATCAAACACGGCGATTCCAGAAGATCTTCCCAGCTATAAACCTCCATTGGTGGATGTTCCAGCGTGCCAGGCATCATCTGCAGCTCCAGCCCCTTCGAACGCGCCACAAGCAGCGCAGCTCTCTCCAAGGTGCGATGATTGGGGCGATGGAACTGGTAAATTGATCAATTTGTATGTCACCCATATTTCAAAGTGATGCTGATAGACTTTGAAACCTTCTGATGTTTTTCTTGCAAAAAACATGGCAGCCAGCGCAATTTGGAGGTTAAACAACCAGCTTGTGACCAGCGCAACGCACCAAATCCTGCAGCTGCCCAGATTAACTCGGCTTCCTTCGTCCCCTGCCGCCACTGCAGCTGCTGCGCAAAATGCCCCTTGGTCTGGAGATGTTCGGACCAGTGCTAAACTGCAGTGCTTGTTGTTGATTTATGTTGGTTTCAAATATCCAAGAAGTGGAGCTGTAATCAAACATCTTGGAGATAGAAGCATGAAATGATAGGGGACAAAACCATGTAACAACCAATGAAACAGGGTTTGTGGTTTCATTGTTTTTAATTGCTACCATAGTTCGGAGGATCCCCAATTGACAACAAGAGTTTGGGATCTGACCTCCAAACCTGGTGATGGAACGGCTCAGTTGCTTCCTGGCGTTAGGCGACAGCGGCGATGGCGGATGTGGATTTAACGGATTTGACATAAATCCAAATTCCTTCTCCAACACCAAGTCTGTGTTCAGTGAGAGCCGTGTGATGCTCACGCAGATAGTGTACCATAATGGCAAGCAGAGACACGCAGGACAGGATCACAGTGCTGTGTTGGATCACAGTTCCAAAGAAATTGTCTATCGGACGCCCTTTGCGTGTTTCTGTATGCCCAGATAATACTTGCCTGGCCAATGCACATTTTATTGGTGCAATTAGATCACATTTGTTGTTCATTGTGCTATCGGTGTGGGGAACTTTAATGCTGCACAATTGGTGCACATTTAACTCAAATCCATTGGTTTCCTTGATTTCTAGACATCATTGTGTCGCAACAAACATCTTACTTCCGCCTTTCCAACTGCATTTGACATATCCTATTTCCATGAGTCACATGCCAATTCAAAGTTTCTTACGTGCAAGCATACATGCTGCCGCTGTTCAAGGTCGCTCGTGTTTTCTGTTCTGCCGTCCTGGACCCCCCTGGTCTAAAGACATGGCTAGGGATGAGAATTATTGGACCTCAACATGGAAAGTTGCAGAATCTTTTTTATCAGCAGCTGTTTGGGACCATTTACTGTATGTATAATCCATTTATGGGCTGTTTGGAATGAACCCGGGATGGTTAATGTTGAATACTCCATAAATCACCAGCCATGAGTCAAATGGGGTGTCCCAATGTCTTAACCTTACAACATGACATTGGCCGGGCTGGTAAGATGCCCATAGCAGCGCCGAAAGGCGCGCCGTGTCCATAGTCCTCCTGCTTGGTGGTTTTTGCAAAGGTTCAGCCAGGTGATTTTCCAAGGAAAATTAGCAATATCTACTGCAGGAAAGTTAGGTTTTTTTAAATGTTTGACACATGCTTTTAGCATCAAACTCCAGGAGTGTCCTGCTAATTTCTTTCATCTTTGATTGACAGCATTTCGGGGAAAGGTGAGTCAAACACTGCACAGACCACCCATCAGTTGACCTGGGCAGAGAGATTGGAGAAAAGAAAAATGTGTTGATGTCGCCGTGAAGACCTTTTGAGTGCCATGGCCATGGCCCAATTGGTGATGATTCTGTCAAGATAAAGTGCGTGGTTCAGAGTTGGCCTTTGGAACTCGAAATTGGTTCGGAGCCATAGAGCCAGACACGACGATCGTTTTCGGATCGCGAAATTGGATGAAATTGGCAGTTTTTGGCTGTCCGCCTTTCTGCTAATTGTGTATGGGTCAAACATGAGTCATTCATTAGTCATTTTTCGTAATTATGAATTATTCAACGACCCATTTTGGCGTTGAGAATTTTGACCCCAAAAAACCGTGTTCCGAAATCGTTTTTCATACTTCTCAGAAGCCCACGGGCCTGCGCATACGTCAAGAATGGACTGTTTCTCGGTCCTCGGAAATGACTTTTGCAACTTCGAGGGAGTTTTGCACACAGACATATGCTTTTTGACCTTCACTTCCAACATGTTGCAGATTGTTGTTTCGTTATGTTTTGTTCTGGATAGGTTTTTCTGAACAGTACGCCCCAGCTTCATAAAATCGATGAATGAACACATCAAAGATTCAACAACTGAACTAGGAGCTACTATTAGGAGCGCACATGAATCGAAGGCACAAACATCATGGATTCCTTCAACTTTGGTTCTCGAAGGCACATGTATAGGACAAAATGGACCAACTGATCACACACACACACGTTCCAATAGTACTATTTGACACTATTTTTGCCATCAAGCACCTTCAAGTGGCCAAGAGCAGCACTGGAATTTGTCAGCGAGCAATGGGAGCATTTTCCGACTTAACCATTTGACCAAAACAGTTGCCATGATGCCGAGTGAAACTGGACTTTACTAACTCAACAGGCTGTCTTCTTACTGTGCCATTCATCTTTGAAAACGAACCAGTAGGCAACCCGCAGAATTGACTGCTGTGCACCCACCATGGTTGATCCCAGAGATGTCTACACCGTGAAGACCTTTGTGGTGAAGTGGTTTGATGGACAGTGGTCATGGCTTGTGTTGGGAAGAGGCATTCTACAGGAGGGGAATTGTGAATGGCAAATTTGTGCACAGGCATCTTCTGACAACCTCAAGCCGCTCAAACCCACTGCATGAATTCTGACCTTGTTTTCTGTAGGTCTATGTAGGGTTTAGTAGATGTCAGATCACATCACCCCAAGGTTCTTGCACATAAAACGGCCTAGCTGATGCCTACAACCTGCTTCTGTTGGTGATATTTTCACTGTGATAAGTGCGCATATTTTTTTTAGTTGGATAGACCTAGCGTGATTGCCACAACATGTTAATCAATTAAGGGGTATTAAGATGTATTAAGTACATTAAGTCCACCTCCATGGGTCACACTTCTGTTCTGACGGACCCTCATGGTGCCAGGTACGGAGAGAGCCCGGGTGTTGGCGCAGAATCTCCAGCCAGGTGGGTTTGCTACCTGGAATGACCAACCTGTTGTGGGTCCAGTCCAGACAGGTATCCCAATGACTAAGGATTGGTTTTAGGGGAAAAAATCGAGGAAACCTCAAGAAATTTGGGGTGAACCAATGTGAACCAGGGATTCCTCATGATTCCTCCGCTTCAGGTGATAAGCAGACAGCCGAGGCAGCCCTGGGCGGGCTTTGCGCGGAACTCCGAAGTGGTCAAGTGCCCTGGCCGCTGTGCGACCCATTTGAAGATTTCGAACCGGGTTGTAACTGAAGTGGGGCGGGGCCAAGAATGCGAATATGTAACTTGACCATACTTGACCAGCAACAAAAGGGGGTTGTGATCGACCAGATAAGGAGATTTGATCCAAAACAAAGAGGATATCAACAAGAAGAGTCGTTGCTACCCATTTTGTGAGCAGTTTGAAGGACCAGTGGAATGAATGGGAGCTTCTTCTGAAAATTTCTACGATTGGAAACTCCACCAGCGATTGGATGCAAGTCCCCCGCCCACCTCAAATTCTCGAAAGGTTTCTCCTTTCGGGAATGGGTGCATCAGAGTTATTGACCCCACAAGAATGCCTGACTCAATGGCATTTTTTGAATATTCTTGTACTGGTACCCAAAATATACCTGTCTATGGCTCAAAATTACTTACGGCCCAAGGATGGTTTGACAGGATGAAAGCAGACCACCAGAAACATCGCGTGGCTCCAGATGGAAAACTGTCAGGTACATCTCCTCAACCAATACGTGCAGCTCTCACCGCAATGTCTTCAACTCGGAGGGTGATCCAATCGTAATTCTTGGAGGAAAAAAGGGGGCCAGGGATACAGCTGCCAGTTTGCACCTAACAGGTAGGTACCAAGCAGGTACAATACGTTTACTAGCATCATTATCATGGCATATCATCACTATATTCATAATATATTATTTCAACATAATGATTTTCACTATCAAATTTATCAGCACTTTCAGAATTATCATTGAGATTATTATTGTTATCACGTTTTCAAAATCTTTCATTGCCATCATCATTTTTCTTCCTCTGATTCAGACTACCATCGTCGTCGTCGTCGTCGTCACCACCACCACCACCACCACCACCACCACCACCAGCATCATCATCATCATCAGCATCATCATCATCATCATCATCATCATCGTCATCATCGTCATCATCGTCATCATCGTCATGACTCTTGGTATTCGTCCAATCGTCGTTATCATTATTTTCATCATCAGCTCCATGATTACGATTGCTCTTCTTCTTCTTCTTCTTCTTTTTCTTCTTCTTCTCTTCTTCTTCTTCTTTCTCTTCCTCTTCTTCTTCTTCTTCTTCTTTTCTTCTTCTTCTTTTTTCTTCTTCTTCCTCTTCTTCTTCTCATTCTTGTTACGATATTGTATTTTTGTCTGAACATATGGTAACCCCAAATCGCTGGTGTATATTTGTATATCATTGATTTCTCAATGAAATAAGAATTTGAGGGTATACCGATTCTTCAGACAAATACCATATCATACATTCCATATATTTCCATATCATGTTCCATTCTCAGAGGCCTCATCTACCATCCATGCAGCCCTGAGGTGCTGAGCTGTTTGCACTTTGGGAGAACCAGGACGACTGGATCATCGGAAATCCTCGTGGTTTTAAGGGTCTTAAGTATCAACCAAAACGACAAAATGACGGTGTAAATCATGATGGAAAGAAATGTGTAAGGCAATGCATAGTTGCAGTTGCTGGGATTCAGGGACTTACTAAGAGGAGTTGAGACTAGCAACTCAGTGACTGTCCACCAGCAAACATGTCTTGACCGCACGGGCCAGGAATCAGGAAACATGGGATTCGCTAAATTCAGCTAAATCTCGTCGTTTCGACATTGAAACCTCCAGCGACTTGGTTCCCAGACTCCGTTCAAAGGAACATTGACTAGTGACTAGTAACAGCAAATTCCATGGTGTCAAAGTTTTGTTTCAGATGTTTTTTTCCCTGCCACCTTAAGCTCTGTGATCCGTCTCTGGCTCCTCTTGAGGAGGGAGACGGTAATCGAATAGTGACACTGGTCATTGAGACCTTGGCCAATGTCCTGGAAAAGAAGTTTGATGAAGGTCAGAAGGAACTTGGGATAACTTGGGATTTGGGAAACATGCCGATTTGGGAACCTTTCAGACATTTAGAGATGGACAGATGGGGCATTTGCGGGGATTCGTGGGACTAGGATATGGAGGTTTCCTGAAATGGGTGTACCCCCAAATCATCCATTTTTGAATAGGATTTTCCATGAAATAAACTACCCCCAAATCATCAATTTTCATAGGATTTTCCATGAAATAAACCATCCAGCTATTGGGGATTCTTGGGGTATCCCCATTTAAGTGGAAACCCCTGGCTATGGGCCATGATGTGTGGCCCCTCGTCAGGTCTGCGAACGGTCAAGACTCGGCAAGGTGTGGCAGCTAAGGTCCTGTCGGAGCACTTACAGGTGCAGCTGGGGTGGGAAGTTTCCTAAGTCATGGGGGTACTCCAGTCATCATGAAAAAGACATGGATGACCATGACTTAGTATTGAAACCCATGGTGACTTTGGGATTCAAGAATTTGAAGAAAGCCTATATATATAATCAATCATTTTCATCCTATCTAAATCTGATCTGATCTGATCTCGCTTCATCTCATCTGCCAACTGCCTTCAACACACTGTGTGCAACCACTAGCGGATTGGGGTTGGTGAACCGGCTCCATTTTGATTGCCTGTAATTAGGCCTACTGACATGGCGAGAAAATGGGTTTGGAACATTTTGGAACCATCTGGCATGTAAGGCGACTTATGTCAATGCTCTCACGCCACCAACATTTTCACCTTGCATCAAAACCCTACGACCAAATACATCAATTTGGCCTCGGCTGATCTCAAGGCCTAAACCCAACAGTTTGTCTAGTTGCAAACCAACTTATATAGCACATATCAACTATCAAACCCCATCTTTCTTGGTGAAAAATCGCTCTCCATCGACCTGGGCAGCTCCTCTACCGATACCTGGGCACCGAGCGTGACCAGTTGTTGAAGGTCTGTCTCAGGCCCAGAAACTCACTAGAAATGATGCTTAGTAATTAGTAGGGTAACTATCCAGAAATTGGTCTAATTTCAGGCTATATAATGTTATATAGTGGATTATTGGATGGATTTTGTGCGGATGATTTTGGGATGACGGGCTATGGGCCGGGTATGGGTATGGTTTAATCATGTTTATATAGTCATTTTTAGTCATGTCATACAATAGCCGCAGAAGACTTATGATTGCACCATCACCATCCAAATATATCGATCCAAATAAGTCAGCCATCGCGAGAATTTTGACCCATACACATTTGGTCATGGCCACGGCCAGTACTAAAAGCAAATCTTTGAGGGCCCTATTTGCCATGGGGTGACTGTTCCTGGGACGGACACACATTGATCACACTTTTCAATTCTGCTCCCGAAAGGTCCCGAAGATCAGTTCTGTTGGATGCATACACCCAGCTTTTTTTTTGGAACCGCATAGATAGGTGGTTGTATGATGTTGTATGTATTTTGCACATTTTTTTGTGTTGCTTCAGTTTGGTTCCCTTGTTTGTCAGTGGAACTCATCGCACCACTTCGCCCACTTGTGATTTGGAGGATTGGAGCACCTTTGTTGGCTTTGCCTGCAAATATGAAAATTGGATCCTCCCAAATCCGATGCTTTCTATCTTTATCATAAATTTTCACCATATTTCAATGTTTTAAAATGATGGCAGCTTCCCCTTTTACACACGCCTCCATGGTCCGCCATGGTCCCCCCATTCGAGCGGTCAGGTTGCTGACAGGTATCAGCTCCACCAGCCAAGCTTTGTCGGCACAGCTGTGTGAAACTCAGGGGGATGATGGATTCAGGGGCTGAGTTGCGGCCTGAGTTGTGACCTTGGGACTAATTGTTGCGGGAAGATGTTGGAACATTGGGGGTTTTGCAAATGTGGATACAATATCACTTTCCAACTCTTCCCTTCAGTCTCTGTTGATTTCAACATAGTTAACACATGTTAACACATATCCCACTTGATACAAATCCATGGGTGGATAGGTACACACACACAGGATATGTTAATACATGTTAATACATATATAATATATATATATAATATATGTATAGTATAGATCATGTAAAGATATCGAATCGTCCCATTTCCCCAAAAAGCGCACCCCCTCACAAGGGACCACGACTGAGGCTCCGGACTTTCAACTTTGGACTGGAAGGCTTCTCACGCCTGGCGAATCGAAGATTTCATGTGCCCAAGAAGGAGAAGAAGGAGAAGGCCGTCCTTGAGATGTTGAAAAGGACATTTGGGAAGTTCCGGGCTCTTTTTGGGAAATTTCTGAGAATTTCCGGGAATTTCTGGTGACGGAAGGAATTATGACTTAAGAAATTTCCAGAAACGCTTGAAGGGAACGATTAAGCGGAACAGCCTTTATTTGCGGGGTTAGAAACATGGTTTCCTGCAACACTTCCCTTGAATGATTCCATTGAGAATTTGGGCAATTCCTGTGCAACTTGCAGACGTGTTCTTATTGGGTTTAGCACATGTTTGAGTTTGTCACCTATATTTCGGCAGATGCTGATGGGGGATGTACCCTCGCCATGCAACAGAGAGTGGGGGATTCAATCAGGAAGGAAAATTCCATGGTGATTTGAGAATGGGATTCAATCATATTGAATCTATCACGTGTTCATCATCGAAGGTTATGAATCCATATGAATCCCATGGCTTTCATGACATTTTTTCACAACTCAGCGTTGCATCGACTTTCGCAAACGCTGGAAGACTTGAACTGTTCGTTTAAAACATCGAAAAGGTTTGCGCAGCAGTCGAAAGGGGACCCTTGGGAAGCAGTGTTGGGAGGATTTGATACCAAAAGAATTTGGAATACCCTCTGGTAAATTAACATAGACCCTGACAGTTGTCGGGGTTGGAAGACTAGTTTCCATTAAAAATTGGTGATTTTCAGGGTCAACAAGTTTATTTACCAGAGGGTATATTTTGTGTAATCAAATGGGAATTTCTAGGGAAGCCATCAACTGCAGAAGATCCGAGCGATTGGACGAAAACGTCTGGGAACGGAGCGTGGATTGGTTCTGGGCGGCCAGTTCAAATGTGATACAAGATGTGAATCTGTTTGGAGCCTTAGAACCTTGTACCCGTGATGAGACAGTCACTGGACTCGCTCAGGAAGTTGTTCCTGGGAAGCCAATGATTTGGGTTTCCATCAGGTTTGTGTGAAGATGAGCAGCAAATTTTTAGATTCCAGTGCCAAATTTGATCGCAACGACCTCTCCAGCGTGGTGAGGGATGGTGGCCACTGGTGCATTTGTGCCTGGGCTTGGGCCTCGGCCGTGTCTCGCGACCCCAAAGGCTTCGAAGGTTTGCAGTTGGACTGCGACCGAACCAACGGCCACCTGCGGGACGTCTATCGCAGCTTCGCGGCCAACGGGCAACAGTTGGCCTCGCCCTCCGGGGCCAAGTATCAAGCGCAAGCGGCCTTGGAGGCGGTGGAAGAGCTGTGCAAAGTTGGATGATCGTTTGAAACATGATTTTCCACTGCGACAAAGATCGCAGTTCTTTGGAGCATTTGATGGATTTAGAGGAGTTATAATACAGTTTTCATACACACTTTGTTAGTGTGCCCGTGAGCTTGCAGAAAGAAAAGTGGTTAGATCTTTGTGGGACTCGGACTCGGACTCCCAAATCCGATGGAACAAAGGGCCATTCTCGGAGGAGGATCACTTCACGCAGGGGGTTGAAACCACCGGAGGCTCATTTAACATATTAATCCCCATAATATTCCCAGCATTGATAGTCGATACCCAAGGTGTCACTTCTCAGAACTTCAGTGCAGGCCCAGATCGATGCTGGACGGGTGTTGCTGGCAGCCTTTCCACTGGGTCCATGTGCCGAAGATGTCGATGTGCATGGTGAATTCAAGCTGCGCAAAGGAATTGTGGAATTGTGGAATTGTGGTACCATGATATACCATGATGATCTCTGAACTTGATCCATTTGGATCCATTTGTTACATTTACTACCTATGGTAATATGGTGTAGATGGTGTAGTCACATTGTCATAGTCACATCGTCGTGTAGTCAATCTGAGATGCTGCGGATGACAGGTTGATGTGAGATCCCTGTTCTCCAGCTTTGCCTTGAGTTGCTCGGTGATTTCTATGGACGAAGGCCATGGCAAAAAACCATAAAAAACATATAAACACCATGTGTTTCATATAGAAAATGCCTTAGTGATTCTATGATTCTACTGTGTTTTTTTGAACCAGTCATTGTATGTCTCTGTGTGCTACGAAAAAGATCTGTGGGTCTATGAAGTTTGGCTTTTCGCACAATGGGTTGGCGATTCTGCTATGATTCTGAGGTTTCTTGCAGTGGAAAGATCCTGCGTTGACATCGTCAGCCCTTGGTGGAGTACTCAGCGGCACCTTCATCTGGTGGTTTCCGCGCAGAAGCCCTTGATTTCCTCAGCAACCATGATGGATGCCCAAAAAACCACAGGTGTAGTACTAAGACAGAGATATCTCCACTCATCTCCAGTCTCATATGTCCAATTTTGTTGGTTGTATCGCTGTATATGATGTCCACCCTGGATGTGTGAACCCCCTGATCAATCAATCGATTGCCACTGCCTGGGTGTGGCACAACATATCACCCCAAATTGGTGGCATGATGTCCAAGAAAGCGACCAACCATTTGTCACTATATCTCCCCATGACATCCCAATTTCGGTCGGTTTGATATGGTTAAATTCCAATTTTGGTTGATTTTATATCAACATTTGGCTGGTGTGGTATGTTTTGGTTGGTTTTTACATCCAATGGTTGTTGCATGTTGTTGCTTAAATCACCATTTCATATGATGATCCCCTAGATACATACATGATCATGATCCCCACATTTTCCCGGATCAAACCGGGATCTACCCAGGAATCAAGGACTTGATCGGAGGTGTGCTGCGAGGACTTTCGCAGGACCCAAAACGGGGGCTTGGAGGGTTTCTAATTAGGGAGGTATTAGGGGTTTCTCTTACTTGTCCAACCATGTTTCTTCTTTCCCATTGCTGTAAGTGGGCTTGTTTTCAAAATGGGGTATACTACAGTACACCTCACTTTGCTAGCAGGACCCGCCAAAGCAGGCTCTCACAGTGGTTCGCGATGCCAGAGACTTAGGACGCATGATGAAGTGGAGTTTGAGCATGGTCCTCCGACAGCGCATGAACCAGATTCCAGGCTGCGAAAAATAGGGCCCCATTCCCAGTTTTTCAATTCTTCTCACGGCCATGAAATAGGGATCGCATCTCCCCCAATTCTGGCTACCAAGCCACATCTCTGTACTATTGGATTGCATTCCCATGAATATATCTTTGCAATCCCATGAAATATATAAAATGGTCTGATTGATCCGATGAGATTCCATAAGGAGTTAACTTTTCAACCATTGCATGTAATTCAAGCAACTATTAATTCCTTTGATCCCAATAGCTACCATAATTGATATGCCCATCCATAGATCTCCGCTACTGTTAAATATCACCATGATCTTTCCATGATATTCGGTTTCGTGCTACTTTGTACTAGTGGATCAATTCCTATCAATGACTATTTTTCACGACATTCCCTCATCAAGTATCATTCCATAGGTATTCCCATAGATATTGAGATCCCTTCATTATATCACCTCTTTCTGCTTCGCAGATCTGAGGTGTTGGAGCACGTGGTCCGACTGAAACAGCTTCCGCGGCAGACCAAGGCGACCCCCTGACTTCACCCCGGCACACGGGGGTCACCCGTCAGGTGTCACCCGTCGCAGCCGTAGGGGTCACCCGTCGCTGCCGCGTCCAACGCGGGAGGTGTTCTTCTTCAACGCCTTCGCCTTGCGCCACTTCTGCTCCTTGCTGAGCTCGGAGGACCAGGAGCTGTCGAGCGCGGCCAATGAACTGCTGAAAGAGGTGTGGAAAGAAGGTGGTCGCCGTGGTTGTCACTGTGGATATCATGGGATATAATGGGATTATAATGGGATATAGACTGTAACATACATAAACAAAGAATAAGACACACATGGGTTTGTTTTTAGAATGGTGTACCCCCGAAATCCCATGGTTGATACCATTCAAATGGCATGTTCCCTATTAAGATTGCCATTTGGGGAGTAGGGCCCCATTTTCAGACACAGCCATGTGGGTACACCAAGCATCTAGTGAGGATATCCCCTAGTTTTGGACAAAGCCATACAGATTGATATTATAACGATGAACCATTCATTCATATCCAGATGGTTGGTCTACATCAACGATATATATGTTGGTATCAAGTGATTCAGGCCATGAGGGATGGCTGACCAGCTTGAAAACGTAGTGGACTGATAGCAATCATTTTTGAAAACGTAGTGGACTGATAGCAATCATAAATGGTTTTTAACAATGTTTTTGATGTTTAATAAAGTTTAATATCATCTATTTCTATCTATTTCTGATGGTTCATGATTGGTCGATATCATAGCGGTTATCATAAAGAACCCGCCGGGTCGGAAATGGAACATGGCGGTGAGTGGATTTTGCTATTTCATTCTTTGTGCACGCCATGGTATTTACAATGTCTTCCAATGTATGAATCATCCAAAATGTGCGTAATTGCAGTACGTTTCGGGATTTCTGTGTTTTTCCCTCAGCGAAACATAGCGAAACGACAATTTCATCATTTGGAGCCCTTCAAAAAAAAATATTGTTTTTTAGAGAAATTTGCGTTTCCCACACGTTTTGACAAATCAAACGTGCGCTGTCGCACCTTTTCTCTTTTCCCCATTTTGTCATGCTTCAGACAGTTCGTGTCCGCACGCCTTCAGCAAATTTGCGTGCTCTTCGTGGGTAAATCTCCATTGAAACGATTGAATGCAAGTAGACATCTGTGGGGATTTGGAACTCAAACTGCTAGGGATGGACTCCTTCATTTGAGTCATATTAACTCGTCGATGGTACCTGTGTGCACAGACAAACGTGCTGTAGCGAAAACGAACTGCTTTTTGAAATTCCCCTTAGCTGTGGTTCACTGATTTTTGATGCATTGCGCATGACTTTGCCATGCGGGGGTATCATGGCACGCCATCTTTGAACTAGAAAGATCCACATGAAAGTTTACGACGTAAGATGGAGGATGTCTTTCAGTGAGATTCATTTTTTCCATTGAGCCTCCGCAAGAGAGGATCTGATAGCGTATAGGTAGACGATATCTGATGACGTGTGAGTGGAAGTGCAAGAGAAAGTACAGCAGCGTAGCATGACATGTGTCGGTGGAAGTGCAAAATAAACAACGTACAGCAGCGTAGCATGATGTGCGTGTGTGTGTGTGGAAGTGCAAATGAACGCTATCAGCCCACCCCACCCCACAAGAGATCCCAGCAACGCAGCATCCACCTCGGGAGCATGTGAACATGAACGTTAATAGCCCACCCCACACCACACCACCCCACCGACCCCAAACAGCTGGGAAGAGACCAGGACAAAAACGACAATATGCAATATGTGCACGACTACACGTTCACACGTTCGGTTTTTGACCCGGTGGCAGAAATAATAGCATATCCTAACATCGTAACCATGCGATCAAAGCCAATCATAGTGCTGGTTAGTATCACATTGATGATGGTTGACGATTCACTGGTTTGCAATGGCTTGTAATGGCAGCGTTCATATCATTTTATAAAAAAGGAAATCACCAACCAATATGGGGTACTGTTGTAGGTGCCCAAATCCTTAACCTTCAACTCCACCACCACCAAGTCGCACCTGCTCGTCGTTCTTTTCCAGGGTGCTATGGCTGCAAGTCAGCAGCAGTCGGACTTGATTCAAAAGCAGCTTCGGTGACAGCCGCAAATGAAAAGAAACAGCTGGGTATGAATTGACATAGAAAATAGGGGATTGGAATGCATGTTATGTACTCTGAACACAGCACTCCCCCTTTGAAGTAGCCGTTAGGCACTTCAATCAAAATACATTCGGCCCAGCTCAAGCTGCTATATTCAAGTGCTATCACGACATGCAGTGCAAAGTGCATAGGTGGAAGCTCTTTCAGCTTCTTCACATGTCACATCAGTATGGAAATCGATCTCTCGGCCGCTGATCAGCACTGCAAATCCATGCCCAGGAATTCTTCCAGTCTGGGCTGCTTCGGCTCGACACTTGGTGCACCACCGATGGAGTCGCGCATGTCCAGTCATTGGTGCAGTGAGATACCGGCAGTCCAACCGATTATGGTACACGGTTCCATGCCGCGTAGTGATCACTTCGAAGGGCAGGAGTGGTAGCGCTGGTTCAGCTTGTGGAGGATTCATAGGTCCCAAAATGGGATGTCCCGGCTGAGCATTGGTGAGCTCATCACGAACTCGATCTTCTTCTCTGAGAATTTGATTCCACTCAGCCTCGTAGTTAACCATCGTCGCATCATGTTGGCGAAGCATCTCGAGAGCAGCGGCTCGTTCTTCTTGACTTTGAAAAAGTGCCGATGTCTCATGCCCAGGAATCGTTCCAGTCTGGGCATCGCGATCGTTAAACCCAGGAAATGTTCCAGTCTGGGTCATTCGTGAGTCGGATCCAGGAATTATTCCAGTCTGGATCACCTCGGACTCAGGCCCAGGAAATATTCCAGTCTGGGCCACGTTCGCAATATACCCAGGAAGAATTCCAGTCTGGGTAGCTTCTGATTGTAAAACCACGTTGATCGCCTGTTCTGGTCGCGGAGCTTCTGATGTTGAGGGCGGATCTTCAAGAATTGGAAGCGGAGCTTGAGGTGGTACTTGATCACCATCATTTGAGTCGGTGGACCGGCTTTCATTTGATGCCGGGAGCGATTCAGATTGATCTCCTTCGGGGATCTCTTCCTCCTTTCGCACAGCGTTCATGGAGAGTCTTCCAAGGTTGGCCAAAACATACTGTCGTACGACGATGACCCCTCGTACTGCTGCATTCCAGATTCGCTGCGCCACCAACGTCAAAATGATGATGCCCAAGGTGTAGGCAATGATGACCTCAAAAGGATAGTTCTCTTCGTGCTCCTTCTCCCCCTCTTCCGCTTTGGCTGCAGCAATTGACGCTGCAAGAGTGATCAGCCTCAAAACTTGGGCTGCTTCCGCGACTTTGGTCTTTTCTTTGGTGGTCGAAAGACCGTCCTGCTTTTCTCCTTCTTTCTTTTCTTCAACTTCCACACTTTTCACTTCATCTTTGATTACCAGTTTTCCCATCCCCATCAACTTTTTGAGGAACTCAAGTCGTGCCGCTGTGAGTGGCTTGGTGCCGATGTCGGCAATCATGAACTCACCAGCCACATGCTGAATGACCCATTCACCCGCAAGGATCGACTGCCTTGCGAAGGAGCACCTCAGCCTCAAATGGCGGGTTCGCCAGTTACCACCATCATTGGACAAGATGGCAAGTGCTGACTGGCTGTCAGTTTTGAGAAGCTTGTGGACCACAGGGAAGAGCTCTGCCAGGATCACGTAGATCGATTCACCAGCTATCATGCCCTCCACGATCTCAGTGAGCTCTGCTTCAGCAGTTGAGAGCGTGATGTAGCTCTGGCGGCCCGATCTCCAGAAAATTGGAGTTGTGCCCAGCAAGACCACAAATGATCCATGGCTCTCCTGTGCATCCGGCGCAAAACCTGCATCAGTGTACACCGTCAAAACGGGGCTTTCACCTTCTTTCACATTGAACATCAACCCTTCATCTGAAGTGGCCATCAGGTAGCCTTTGAGCTGGAGTGCGGCTGCCAAAACGGCATGTGGTGCCCTCGTCGATGACGAACCCATGCGGCTTACGGCGTACATGACGTCTGGCCGTGCCCGGGTTGTCAGCCACAAGACTTCGCCAACAGCTTTTTGACAGGAGCGAATCAGCTCAGGTGTGATCTCAGCCTCATTTGGTTCCATGGCTGATTGATCTCTGGTCAAAGGGATCCGTTTCGGCTTGACTTCAGGATCCTTTTGTGTGAGATCCTTGGTGTAGGACTGCTGCGTCACCATCCAAACATCCCTTTGAAACTCCTCTTTCCATTCTTTTGAAATCTCCATTCCCAGAAATCTGACAGGTTCTGGGCCGACAAACTCTGGTGTCGAAGTGGTCCATGTCGATTGGATCTTGGCCTGCATGGCTTGGAGTAAGTTTGGAGATGATGCCAGCATCAAGTCATCCACGTAAGTCATCAAAAGACCATACAGAGTGGTGTCTTCTGGTTCAAGGGCATTTCGCAGTTTCCACAAGTTGGGTTCGGACTGCAAAGGCTCCAGCATGAACTCCATGTGCTTTCCATTGTGCTCCCCCTGGATTGAGAAGTCAGAGATGGTCTCATCTCTGGTGAGGCCCCACAGTCTTGGAGACCGTCGCAACCCGTAGATCGCTTTTTCAGGCAGGTAGTAGACATCTCTTCTCAGGTACTTCTTCTCGACCAGGAGAGCAGGAGGTTTGATCAGGATTGGATCCTCATCATCGGCCAATACCATCTTGGCGTTGAGGAAGGCTGTGCGCACGTCGAGAGTTGAGGCAACCCATTGGTAAAGTGCGCAACACCAGCATAGAATGCGCAGGGCGGAGGCATCTGCACCTGAACTGAAGTTATCCTCCTGTTCTTTCTTTGGTTCCAAGTTGCCACAAACAACCCACCTCATCTTTTTCTTTCCTCCTTCTGGCCCTGGCTTTCTGGTAAAGACCAGCTTGGATGGGATGAACTCAATCCCCTTTCCTGACCTTTCAGCCTCCTTTGCATCTTGTGGAGTTCCTCTGGATAGATTTCTCTGAAGGCCTCCTTTTCTTTGAGCAAGGAGTCAACCTCATTGGTGATGGCCGGGAGCCAATCGCTCCAGTTTTCGGCCACTTCACGTGGTGACACAATTCGTGTCTGCAAGACCTCTTCTTCTTCATTTGTCTCAGCTGCCATCTTCCTCATGTTGGCCAAAATGGCCATCTCATCCATCACTGTTTCAGGATCATCATTGATCATCATTTTCATCTCATCTTCGATGACCCTTATGTAGTTGATCCTCCTTTTCTTTTGATCTTCTCTTTCTTTCTCTTCAACATCATCTTCTTCGATCTTTCTGATCGCTGATTTTCCTCGAAGTCTTCGGCGGACCAAGAGGGCATCCACGGTGTCCTTTTCCAAGGCGAGCCATTGGTGCTCAGAGACGGGGTCTTTGGCCTTCTTCATGACATACCTCGTCACTCGTGGCGGCTCATCCTTCGGAAGGATCCAGTGGCCATGTTCTTCTGTTGCTGGAAAAAGGTATTGAACCGTTTCCGTCGTGGGCTCAAAAACACCCTTTCTCCATGTTCTTCTCCTCACCAAAACCTCTTGCAAAAAAGGTGGAAACTTCGGCTCTTCTCCAATCCTCCAGCTTCTGTTCAGGGCATCAGCATATCGAGCTGCAAGGGGCCAGAGTTCACTGCCAACGTCAGCAGCTTTCAGCAATCGCCTCACCTGAGTCTTGAGGGTCTTGATGGCTACTTCAACTCGGCCATTTGCTCTGGGATCATCGCCCGAGGTGCGAGACAAAGCTATGCCCCGCGAGTTGGCCCATTTTTTGAACTGGCCGGCAAACTCCCTTCCCCTGTCGCTATGGATGCGACCGATGTGGAAACCATCCATGCGAAGCCTGAGGAGCATGTCCATTGTGGTTCTTGTCACCTCCCTTGCTGTCTTGGTGATCATCGGAGAGGCCAGGCGGAAGATCTTGGTGTCAAAGCCACCTGGTTGAAGTTCTTTTTCTCCATCTTTCGGTTGTGAAGGTGGTAGCAGATATGGCGGCACTGGATGAGGTTTTTGAGAGAGCTCATCCTCTTTCTTTTCCCCATCTTCTTCACCCCAAACTTCTACCTTTCCTCCTTCTTCTTCTTCAGCCTCACTTCGTTCTTCTCTTTTATCTTCTAGGGCTTGGGCCCCTTCTTCTTCTTCAGGGTGAACCTCAAAGTGAGGTTCATCTCCGTCAGCTTGTGGAACATGAGCATCTTGGAGCTTGTTTGACTCGGCTGGCACGGCCCATGTCAGAGTTCCAACCAGCATCCATCGAGCTCGCAAGCCACCCAGGTCCTTGGCAGGAATCAGAGGACCTGCAACATCCAGCGAGAGAACTCCTCCGACTGGATATGGTACTCTTCGATGTGGGTGTTGTTGTTGCATGGTTTGTTGGCAAACCAGGCAGTCTCGCCGATATGGCGTATGGCCGTGTGCTATGTGCTCATCCCAGCTGAGAGGGCACATCTTCAGAGGTTGGCACTTCACATGCAGCATCAAAGACTCGGCCACCATGTTCATTGTGCCCGGAGCCCATCTTGAGAGCTGAGCAGAAGACCTGATGTCCACAGAAGTTGGTCTTCTCGTTCGATGGCTGTCGACGTTGAGGTGTATGTTACCACCCATTGTTGTTGGTTTCAAGGCCGCTCCTCCATGATGTCCTTGACAGAACGTGGTCTCCTCAAAGTTGAACTCATCTCGCAAGAGCTTCCATTCGTTGGTGTCCCAAAACGACACGCATTGAGGCATGTACTCTTTGGGCGTTGCAGGCTGTTCCAAGAGGAATCCAATTGGTCGTTGAACTTGTTTGGCTTCTCTGATGTATGCGGCCACCATCCAAAGAAAGATGAACCTCCACATCAAGACGTCGTCCTCAAACACCTGCAAGCGCTCTTGTTCAGAAAGATCTTTGAGGCCAAATTCTTCACCTCCCCACGCCCTGACTGGTCGCGGAGCATTTTCTTTTGGATAGTGCCTCAAAACTGACCTTGTTCTGCAGTTGGGTCCCGCGATGAAGGCCTCTACCTTATCGCTCATCACAGCACACAGCAAGCCGCTGTAGACTCCAGAGTCCATGAGGAGA